AAATCAAATTAAATCTTCCACTGAAGTGAGCTAAAAAGTCCATTTAAATAGAATATTCCCTCAAACATGCTTTACCTATCACTGCAGGCTCACTATGCTGAAACTGCATGGATTATCAAAGGCAGATACAGGGCCCAGAGGGGCCTTTTGGAGTGACTTGACCAATCTGCCAATAATTTATGTATATGCTAAGAAGCAGCATGGAATCAAAAGGAGGATTCACCTGCAGTGCTTAACTCAGCCCAAATAAATCGAAGGTGGACAACATGTAATTGTGTTCAGTGACACTGAGAGATCATCCATAAGGTAACAAACACCTCCTTATAAACATATGGCAGCTACTAAAACTGAAACAGGACTATGTACTGCATAACATGGGCTGACAACAGAGGAGTAAGCAAGCCAAAATACAACTGGCCACAGCTGAAACTAAAGACTAAACACTAATCAATACTGGAATCCAAAGTCTGGGAGGTAAATGAGATTCTTCCCTGTCCAACTTGACTGTGGGCTAAAGACACTTGGAGTACGAGTACTTATTTGAAAGAAACATTTCGTGCACAGCATCTTGTAATATTTTGCAGGAATGGAATATATGCCTTTTGATTCAGTGAATAAAAATGAGAATGAAATACACAGAGTCAGTATCTACCTGATATATATGTATATATGTATACCGTCAGATAGTTTCTGCTTTTAATTTTTTTAATGTGCTAATTTTTATAATTTATATATTTTAAGTAGACAAAAGTTAAATCTCTGACACTTTATTGTCAACCAAAATAAGAAGGAGACTGGTTGCTAGCACAGGAAAAAACAGTTTCTCCTGACATTATTTATAGCTGCAGCTCTATCCTCATGTACTTTCTAAAAGTGGATTATCCACTTTTACCTTTCAATGTGAAATGGAATTTATGGATTTTAAACAGGTGATGCAGTCATTAAAGGGGCCTCTTTAAAAGGAGTTTTTTCTAGTCCAGAACCTCATATTCATAGGCAGAAACTGTTTCTAGCTGTGGTGGATCTTGTTTGTCAAACAAGAGAAGAAACAGCAGTTTAAACCATTTTAACTGAGACAGAGACAGTTAACCAATCAAGCTGATGGAAAAAGGAGTAAGCATAGGTTGAGTCACAGCATCATAGAATGGCCTGAGTTGGAAAGGATCTAGCAACAGCTGCTTGACCCCACCTTCTGCAGAAGGCATCCATGGGATTCCTCTGTTAGCCCTGCTAAAATGTCAGATTTTTCCATGTACTTTTTTCCCTGACAGTAAAACAAATAGAAAAAATTATAAAAGAGGATTTTGTGAAGAGTTCATAATTAACTTGGTAAAAGCGAGAGAATTAGAAATCAGTTACTCATTGTCATTATTACCAAGTGAAAACATTTTTTTCTACCATCTGCAGGATCTGTGCTAATTTTGTACTGTCTTCCTCTCTGTTTATATTTATTAGAAAAGTGTTAACATTTAATTATTTTAAAATAGAAGGCTTTAATTTTTTCGTATTAACAGGTGCTACTATGGAAACTGGTTGCACAGTGCTGGGGTAAAAAGATGGCTAGATTAAGTGTGGTGCATTCAGGTTACACCTATTTCTTTTCATTTAAAGACCTACATAAACAGACTTACAGACTTAGATTGTGATTTAGATTCTTCTTGAGTCTCTGAAAATTACCAGAGGCTGTAGGCCATGCCAACATCTTTATTTCTATCAGAGTATTTCACTCTTGCAGAAATGTATATATTCATGGGTATACCTAATTTTATTCATGTTTTTCTAGTAAAAATCTGTAACTGTGGAAGTGTTTCTGTAAAAATAATCTTTCCATATCTTAGGAAATATTTCCTGGGCATTAACACCATCTCATTTCATAACAGCCAGGCAAGTACACTTCCCCCAGAGCTTCTTCATGGGAGCCTACATTAAAACCATTTCCTGGACATGAAAGAGCCTTGAAGTTCTAACAGTTTGCTACAAGGTTAAGTCTGTGCAATCCAAAAATTTGAGCATGGTAAGGTTTTCCAGTATTAGACCAAGACCTCTGCTGTGGAGGAGGAGAAAGACAAGATAAAAGAAAAAAAAATTTAAAACTCTGTTTTGGAGAGATTATTGCAGAAAGAAATCTCTGGAGAAGAGGACAAGCCACAAATGTTGCTGAAGGCAATCCTGACATCAAGGAGCTACTGAGCTAGAAAGCTGATCTGGAGGTTTCAAAACCCTTCCAAAACCAGTCTTGAGATTGCCAGAAATTGAAGTTATAATCTACTTCGAGAAGAGCAACAAGGAAGGAAGAGAATGGGCATGTTTGAGGAAGAAACTAATATAACTTTTGCTCTGCTGTGCCAGTGCTTCACAGTACTTGGGGCAGGCAATGAATGCTTCACTACTGCCAGACAAATTGAGCTTCTAAATAACTTCTCCAGGCCATATTTCTTCTCTTGCAGCTGAGTGCCTACTCAGAGTGATTCACACCTTCATCTTGCCAGATTTCTGGACAGGTCATTTACACTTGATAGGCTCAGTTCCCCATCTGTATGACAGAGATAATGATACTCCCCCACCTAAGAGAAGTGCTCTGAGGACAAATGTGGATGACTATTTAGAGGCAGCCATGTCAGAGCCTGTATGAATTCCTAAGGCATGAACTTTGTGTCCTCTCTAAAAGTAACAAACAAGAGCAGCTTTTATATAGACAGGATGCACAATGAACATGAGATGGAAAGGCTCAAAGTATTATGTTTACTCCCAAAACACACATTTGTTATTATTTTCTCTGCATCTCCTCCAGGCTGTGGAGCCCCTACTGAAATAATTACCTTCCTGTCACCTCAGCTCATGAAGGCTGATGGAAAGCATGACGAACTTTTTATTTTGCCTTGTGCCTGCCACTAAGTCAAGTCTTTTCATTACCAAGGGAGATGCTGCAGGAGCTACCTTTCATTCCCCAGAATGGACAGAAAGAAGAAATTCAGCTGGGATAGCTGTCATACTACAAGACTTTACAAAAAAAAAAGCAAAGGAGAACTGAATCAGACGCATGATGTAGCCTGTTTCCTAAGAGATGCAAGATGAGAGCTGCAGTTATGAGCCTTGCTTTGGAAGGAAGCTTTGTAGAACACTACCACAAACATGTTCAGATTTTGGAAGCAAGGGCCAGTGATCTGCATTCTGAAAGGCACAAAACATGACAAGGGCAAGCAGTGGCCTTCTGGAATGTACTGGCTATTAAAAACAAACAAAAAACTCTGATGCAAATCCAGGCTCAGTATAAATAAAATAATACATCTTGAATAAATAAAAATAAAATCTTGAAATACCACTGACTTTGATTCCATTCTTCAGGGTCACCATCTTGGTCTTCTCCCTTTTCATACACATCCAGAACTCCTGATGCTCACCATCCCTGTGTGCTACATCTACCTGTGCAAAGCTGGGTTACTGCCTACCACTGATGGTCAGTACCTACTCCTCTTGGTAGTAACACTTTAAGGGCATACTAGAAAACAAACATCCTTTCTTTCTGTGGGAATGTGGGAAAATTTAACAGCATACTGTGCAATGGAACCAACGTAAACTGTAGCCCAAGCTTAGTATATTTTCTTTAAATGACCTAATGACATTACACGTTCCATCTACAGATGGCATGGGAAATGCCACAGTCACTGCTGAGGTTTAGTAGCAGTTTACCACTACTCAGAATAAATAGGCAAAATGTTCCCTGGAGCCAGGATACTGAGACAAGTATGTTGAATCTGAAGCAGTGGTTACACTTTATTAGATCTGTCAGTAATTCTATCACTCTCTAGGAGGCATGATCCAAGCTCATGTAACCTGTATCTCTGCCCCATTAATGCTGACTAATAAGTAGGAGGTGGTAACTGTTGTAACTAAGAAACAAAATTAAATATAAAAAAATCTACATTTAATAAACACCATGCAATTTATTCAAACACCCTCAAGGAAGAAACCCGGACCCAACCAAAGGATGCTAATCTTATCAATTGTATCCTAAATGAGACCTGATATACAAGGGTAAGTAATTTCTGCAGAAATATAGATGATAATGTGTATTCTCATAATTCTGTGACAGAAATGAGACATTTTCTTACATATTTTAGTAGTAAAATTGTAATGAAAATATCAGCATTGAAAACAGGATAATGAAAATATTTTTGATTTATAATGTTAAATAATCACCAAATAGAATGAAATCACAAAGTGAAAAATAATTAAAAAAACCTTTGCCTCACTTTTGTTTTACATATTAAATATGCTACCTTAAGGGCAAAGTGAGAAAAAACTCCAGTCCTGTTTGACAGCATTCCTGTACTCCTGAATAACATCACCCCTCCCCTCTCTCTTGAATTTCAGAAAGGAAAAAAATCCACACAATCTTAAAAAGACCAGATCCTACTATATCAAGAAAAGAAATAAACTACCACTACCAGCATGCTCTGTGTATACATCACATGGCATGCTATCAAATTTCAGACACAAAGCTACAGAGGATGACGTTCACCTCTCCAGAAGTCTTCCATGTTCCTATCAGAACCCTGAGAAAGGCAGAAAACCCCTGAACAAATCCTCCCTCTCACAACATTACTACATAGGATATAAAAAGCAATGAGTAAAAGTTTTTAAGTAAATCCAATAAAATATGGCTCCTGCCTGGCCAGCCCTACACCAGACAAGAAAGCAGAGGATTCTCACCACAACATATCCATGTGTGGAGCACACCTCCTGCCAAGAGCACTCATGGCTAACCGAGAACAAAGTGAACCAGCAACAACAGGCATAAACCATACTTACATCTGTAAACGGCCTGATATTGAAAGCCATTCGTACAGTACATAAATCCAAAGGGCTTGAAAGCTTTTTGTTATGGCAAATAAGATGGTAATGAAATAGTTACATGATGGAACAAGCGGCATGCAGCATAGAACTGTGCTTGCAAGTCTGACAGAGAGTTTGAACAAAAAACACTGAAAAATTCAAACCTGTGACCAGTTCTCTGATTTCCAAATCTGTAGTCTTGCGGAGTAACCGTACTAATGCTGGGATACCACCACAGTTTTTCAGAGCTATTTTGTTGTCATCATTTGCCTTCCCATATACCAAGTTTCTCAAGGCTCCACAGGCACTACGGTGGACTTCCGTCATTCGATGGTCCAACAGATCCACCAGTAATTGTATTCCGCCTTGTCTTCTTATCTGAAACAGGCCAAAGTGATAATCATACAGTAAGAAAATGAACACCAATATTAATAAATGCTGTCCAATGTAATTAAGCTGTGTTTTATGTGGACTGAAGTCCAGCAAAGGTGCACTGGTAACACCACGGAGCTGATACATTTCACTGCTTTGATTACTAGTATCATTCTTTCCGTGGCAATGTAAGTGTACAGTGACAAACCAGAACCTCTGTAAAAGCAGCCAAACTTAGTTGAGTGCTGTCTCATCAACCTTTCCCATGGTTCATCAAGGTTTGCCTTAGCAAGGGTTTGTCCTGCACTGGAGAAACATCATCTCCTTCAGAGTATAACACATCACAAGCTAGAAAGAAAAGCACGAGGCTACAGCAAATAAAAAAGCCCCACTTTATCTTATAAAGTTTTTAGGAGTCCTGCCTTTACATTTAATTACTGAGAATGGCAACAGCTACTGTAGTCTCAGTAAGGATGTTACATCATCTAAAATGGGATGAGCAAAGATGAAAGGAAAAGGAGGAAGTCACCAGAAATATAAAGACAGGGATGAGAAATAAATCATGGTAAGCTTGTTCTAACAATATTGAGGGAGACCCTTAAGTGATACAGGTACAGAAGTCTTATGTGTACCCAAGGTGGCCTACACAATAAATTTCTAATGTGATATCTTATATTAAAAAACATTCTAGAAAAAGCACAAAAATATTTATACATTTGAAACAAATGATCAAGAAGGTCAGGTACAATTTATTATGAGATCCATTTCAAACAAATACATCTTTATTGTTCTGTGGCACCACTTGTTTATGAAAGAATAATCAGTCTTGGATCTAATTTTAAGAAACCACAGAGACTCATAACTGACATCTGAGGAGTACAATGCTTTAGCTTTAAGCATATTATACAGACATCTCTGAAAAAGTCAAGAAGTTTCCCCATGGGTGTAGCTGGCTAAGGCCTAAAAGAAACCAGGCACTTTAGCTGGCCATTTTACATTGAGGAAAAAAAAAAAAAAAATTAATAAAAAAAAAATTAATTGTGAAACAGTTTTTGTTTGGGCATGTGTTCTTGGGGCTCTGCAGGGGGAAGTCTTGGAAGACAGAAACAGTTAGAGAACAGTAAAATGTATTAGGAATTCAAGCTTCATCTGCTAACTTAAAATCTTTATGTATAACTGATGTATGGAATTTCATAGATCTAACACAAGCTTAAATGAGGCAAAGTGCTGGGTCCTGCATTACTGTCACAAGCCCATGCAATGCCACAGGCTTGGGGAAGAGTGGCTGGAAAGCTGGCTACTGGAAAAGGAACTGTCTAAAGCAAGCTAAACATGAGCCAGCAGGTGCCCAGGTGGCCAAGAAGGCCAACGGCATCCTGGCCTGTATCAGCAATAGTGCGGCCAGCAGCATTAGGGCAGTGATCCTCCTACTCTGCTTGGCACTGCGAAGTACTTAAGTCCTGTGCTCAGTTCTGGGCCACTCACTGCAAGAAAGACATTGAGGTGCTGGAGTGGACCCAGAGAAGGGCAACAGAGCTGATGAAGGCTCTGGAGCACAAGTCCAGTGAGGAGCAGCTGAGGGAGCTGGAATTATTTAGCCTGGAGAAAAGGAGGCTCAGGGGTGACCTTATCACTCTCTACAACTGCCTGAGAGGAGGCTGTAGCCAGGTGGGAGTTGGTCTCTTCTCCGAAGTAACAAGTGGTAGGACAAGAGGAAATGGCCTCATGTTATGTCTGGGGAGGTTTAGGTTGAATATTATGAAAAAATTCTTCACTAAAAAGGTTATCAAGCACTGGAATGAGTTGCCCAGGGAATCAGTGGAGTTACCATCCCTGAAGGAACTTAAAAGGTATGTAGATGTGGCACTTAGTGGTGGAATTTGCAGTGCTGACTTAATTGTTGGACGAGATGACCTTGATTATTTTCAGCCTAAACGATTATGTGAATTTATGATTCACTTCAAATAAAGACTGAAAAGTGATTCAAGCTTTAGGGTTACAAAATTGAACTGTATGAAATTACTCACTGCTAAACCAGAAGTTCCCCTTTCGTCTTCAAGTTTATCTGGCATATTTTTACTTTTTTAATAACAGCAAAACCAAAAAGTAGAACAGCTGTGTTATCAAAAAGCATATACACCATGATGCTACAGTGTTAAATTAAGATGTTTTAATATCTATATAGTTACCATACAGCTTTGGTCTAAATGCCAAAGTGACAGTGTTTAAAGATAAACTATGATATTTTTCCTTAAATAGGCATTATATCACTACTCATGTGCAACTTTCTGAGTAACATGCAGGTCACCTCAAAGACTACAGAAGCTGGCACTACATGATGCATGAAGACATACGAATGGACATTGGTAAAATATACCAATTTCAGGCAGAAAAGTTCACCTATCTTTTTGAGAGCTTATGCTTCTGCTGCTCAGAGAAACCGTGACATCATTCAGTTTAGAAATGAGAAAAGCAGGTCAAACAGAAAAGGTGCTGCAAAATATCTCACTGGTCAAACCTTTTCCATGTGAACAGGATGACTTGCAATTAAATAATTAGCTCATTTCTGAGCCAGAAAAAAAAATACCAGGTTTATCTGGGGTAGGTGGGGGTGAAGCTTCCTTGTTTTGTTTGTTTTGGTTTACAATCCATTACCATTTAACCTTCATATAAAAATATATTTGCTTCCCCTACTAGCCTGATTTTCAAAACCAAGCAGGCTATGTGAAGAGCCACCTACAAGCCAAAACAGATGACATTTACTAAACAGACTAGAAACACAAATTTATGCGTCAGTTCTACAAAAGGTCAATCAACCACTGAGCTTCACACTTCAACCTCGGAAAAGAAATAAGATCTGATAGAAGAAAGAATACAGTTAAAAAATATATGAGCCGCCTGGTGTGATGAGTAATATCAGGGACAACAGAATGAAAACATGCCTGCTGATCTTTGTGAATTATATTTTTAAAGCACAATATGTTGAATGAATATTTTTATTGCTTTGGTGCTAAAAAAAATAGAGCAAGAATGAATAAAAGCATTACTTTGTAGAAAAAAATCATACTGTGTGCTACAATTCAGCTAAAGACTTGGAGGTCTCTGTCTCCATTCAGAGGGACTCTGTGCCTATGCTGTATTTCCCACTCTTCCCCTTGCACACAATCGAGTGGCATCTCACATTCCTCAGCAGTTTATCCTGTAGATGCTCTCAGGTGATAGGTTTTGCTATCTTCTGCTCATTTGTAAAGGGTAATGTGTGGTTCTGCTACACTGAGACAGTATTCCTAAACTACACTTTCCAGTCATGGTAGCTAACTGCACACTAGTATTCAGCTCATGCAACTCCTCCTCTCTCAGGAACCTGAAGCCAGCAGCAGACTGAAATGATTCAAAGATAGATTCTTAAAAGCAAAGGCATTAAATATTTGTCTAAAATGCATTTCTGTCATAAAGAAAAAAGGGTAATACAACAGAAATTAAATGGATGTTACATAACACTTTGCATAACTTGACAAAATTTCTTAAATTTTACTGAAGAAAGAACCTATTCTTACCTAGGAAATACAAGATTTATTTTACAAACTTTTTTTGAATTTCCAAGCTCAGATATTTAGCAGATGTCATGCAGGGAGAGATGTAGGTGATGGTTCACATCTAGGAGCTCAGTTTCTGATACTGTTTTTTTTATATGGACTACTCTCTTGCTTTGGTGGTTTTGTTGGTTTTTTTTATAATAGGCCTTTACTCACAAGTCTTACCCCATTTTCATGCTACTATCACGTATCTATATAGATGTATAAAGGTATACTCTCCAGCAGGTTTAACTGTGCCTGACAAATCGTGTGATTGTGATGGATGTTATCAGGATCTATTTAAATGTATGGAAATAGAGGCAAAGGAAATGAAATTGTTCAAGTCCTTTAGGGAGCTACGAGCCACAGCGTCGAGGACAATTCTAACCTAGTCTCCCAGGGCAGATCTCAGCTAAGTTAATCACAGCTCCACTGAATTCAATAGTGCTACTGCCAAATGTCTTTGCCAAGAACACTGAGATGGATGGATAAGCAGCAATTTGCACCAATGGACCATCAAATCCCAAACCCCAATTTGATACTTCTGTCTCTTTCCTAACATAAGATAAAGAAAACATTTCTTAATATAATATTTATTGACATATCAGTGGCTGCTGCCTTGTTACATCTAGGAGGAAAAGAAAATAGAATATGTCAGTCTGTTTGCCTACTAAAAACAGTGTACCAACTTGTCAGGAGATACAGAAGATCAGTTCTGTTCTCACACAGACCAGCCCCAAAGTAGCCACTTTGGAACTCACTTTCAACTCTTCAGCACAACTGAGTATGCTCAGTTGTATCTACTCATGTCTTGAATGCATTGTCTTCTTTTTACACCATCTCTTCTCAAAAATAAGAAGAGGATCCAAGGAGAAGGATTAACAATGCTGAGTGAATCTGTTTGCATTGCATTGTTTCTCATGACTCTCTTAATTCATGGATACTGTTAATTTCTGTAAATTATTTTCCTTTATTTTTCTCACTGAAAATATTTTGTGTATGTCTTTGGAAGACATTGTTAGAGACCTGTTGAATACAGAGCTGTGATTAGAAATCTATGCCAAAGTGAAAACTGAAAGAACAGAGATTATATAAATTTTGGAAAAAAAATTATTTCCGTGGAAGAATGCACAGAGCTGCTTTCATCTGAGGAATCACATTCCTGAGGAATTTCTTTTACCAGGTTATTTTCAAACTTTCCTTTAAAGTGTCTCTCTGCCATTAATGTCACTATCTACTTGCTGGCCAGAAGCACTTGACTAGCCCTATTGATGCCATAACACAGGCAGACAGGACAGGAAAGGTGCCAGATTTTCTAGTACACAGATTGATAAAAGTACACTCATGTCAGCTTGATGACAGAGTCTTCTCCTCTGGCATAGTATGATGGTTTTTTGCATCACATCTGAGAATATGTATTTGTATCCACAC